TATAAGAGACAGTATACATGCATATATATATATATATAAAATATATATATGGATTGAATGAGTAGATGATTGATTTATTGAACCCAATGAAGTCACTGTTACAATTCACTTCTGTAACACTTAGATTGCTGCTATACCTGTATATATCGTAGTGAAATTTCCATTTTTACATTGGTCATTTATAGTTGAGCAAAACGAACGCCTGCAGGTCCCACAATCTAAACACAGGACAGCAATAAAAGTTAACTCAGTAAAATCATGCAGGAGGTAAATCAATAAATATCTATTCTATCCCACTGCCATTCTAAGCCTGCTGTCACTCGATCGAACGGTCGGTCAGTGGGTCGGTTGGTCCGGGTTGGTTGGTTGGTTGATTGAATGGTTGGTTTGTTGGTTGTTTGGTATGTTTGGTTGGTTGGTTGATTGGTTAGTTGGTTGGTTGGTGGGTGGGTCAGTCGATCAATTCATTAGAGAGTCGGTTGGTTTAATGAATCAATAATTGATTGATTGTTTGATTGATTGATTGAATGGATGAATAAATGAATGCCTTATTGATAATATAACTAACTGGTTTTTGGATGATTTATTGATTGATTGATTGATTGATTTATCCATTAATACTTCCATCGAATAATCCATCTCGTTCAATTGGTTTATTGGTTATTGGCTGGTTGAATCAATGATTGATTGATTGGATGATTGCATGGTTGATTGGTTGATGGAATAAATGAATAATTGATTGGAATTATAACCAGATATAACTGACTGACTAGTTGGTTGGATGATTTATTGATTGATTGATTTATTCATTAATACTTCCAATCATTCTAATCAATCGGTTGGTGATCAGTCGGTCGGTCGGTCCGTCCGTCAATCGACTAATTGGCTGCCGGCTGCCGTATAGAATACCGAAGCGACAACCAGTGGAGTATCTAGAAGTCTTGAATTGGGGGATCACGGGGGCTTGAAGTGGGAGTGGGGGTTCGGGGCTCGATGATCAGATAAGGGGCGCTAATTCGCAAAATATGGTGATTTTAGGTGATTTTTAACTACTTGACCGTGATTTTTTTTTTTGGGAGGGGGGTGGGGTAATTTTGCGCGCCCTCTCCTAGATACGCCACTGGTGACGATATAGCATCACGGAGGTTTGTATCAATTAATGGTAGCCGTTACGCACGAGCGCGTATTGGTCTTAGAGCGTATCCACGTTTATTGACTGGAACCATCCATGCTCAGTGATGATACACAACGGTTATATAATATTAAACTGTTTAAATAATCAAGTCATTGAATAATGAAAGATTGATTTAACTTAACGTTTGAATATAAATAAAGTATTGATTCTTTGTTTTTTTGTTGGACCCACTCACTTTAAATGTGATTTACAGTACAGTTTTGAAAATGTTCAAAATAAATGCTATACCTCCTGAAAAACTATCATGCCAATATCTTTCACAATTTGAGCAGAACAAATCCTTGCACCGCAAACAAGCTAAACACAGGACAGAAATAAACATAAACTCAGTAATATTTAGAAATAACGTGATAGGCCTATGTTATTTCAAAATAATATATTTAAAAAAATAAAATAAAAACCGACGACCCTTTACACGCAGTCATACAATACTACAGTAACGTCAAAAATATGCCTGATTAGACATACTTAATAGTACGTCAATTTCAGTGGTTTGCCAAAATATAGGCTACTTTGAATTGAAAGACTTGATTATTCAAAAAACCGTTTACTTTTTGGCGAGCAGGTCTACTACGTACAACTCAAGATACATTATAACCACACGACAACGACATATCACCGCGTCGTTTATATATTATATTCTTCAACACTGAGCGCATTTTTATCGTGTGTCGTGTCTAGTGTAAATGTAGCTTTGATCTAAACGTAAAATTACCTGTCATGTTGAGTGTTAAATCAGGTTGTGTGTGACACGAATTACACAAGCCTCTACACATTCTATTCGGAAGGCAATTACTGCATGCACTTGATATGCTATAAAATGAAAAAAAAAAAAAGAAAAAGCTAAACGACATAATCGAAGTCCATATTCATAATTAGCCGTATCAAGAAAACTGATATTATTTTGTATCAGAATTATGGTGTTTAATGTTGCAGTAAATGTAGCTCTACAGCTAGGCATATTAGGGACATAATCAATGGTAAACTATTTGATATGCCTAACACAGGATAGACTATTCTGGACTTACCTGTATCTGCATTCTTGTGAGTAGACACAAAATGACATCGACACCAAAATCAAACCGCAGTATGTTGCGATATATGACAGCATTATAAACACGTCGAGGTGATGGTTGTCTTGTCTAAGCAATTCTATTATATAAGTGTATGTTAAAGCAACCAGGTAACATCAATAAAAAAAATAAAACATCGCATTTGATGTCGCTGTATGTAGGCGGTTCTCGTATTTTAGTTGTTGTACTTTAGTTCCTTGTTTAGATAATAGGTATATTATGTTATTTACGTACAGCGGAATTAAAAACCGAAATGATACGATTTCGTTGTGGATCAGACCATTGTTATTACGGTCCAGTTATTTCGAAATTGTCATGTCTATTATTTAATTACAGCTCAAATCCTTTCATTTACACAAGTTCACCCTACTTTGTAACAACTAACTTCGATTTTTTAAAATTTCAGATAGGTTTGATGTGCAATTGCTGTTACTTTCCTGAAGGAGAGTTTTAAAGTCACGTTATATTGTATCGGTAAAAACGTCATTTGTGTTCACTTACGTACTGACAAGCAGACAGACCCTTGCCCTTTGCATTTTCACACCCATCTCAGTCCAAATATAGGATGTGTGAAATAGCACTCTCAGACTTTTAAAGTATCTAAACTAACTCAGTATAGGTAAGTCGTTAATTTTAAATACGGCACATTTAAATAATTATTTCTAAGTAGTACTAAGAGAGTATCCACCACAGACTATGAGTGTTGACTGAGGTTAAAGGCGTTGCAACTTTAAAAGTTTTTTGTTAATTGTTTGTTTGTTTTATTTATTTCTCCACACACAGACACACACACACACACAAGCTTAGTAAAACGAACTAAGAATAATGATACATTACAGAATAAGTGTGTGCAAGGACGCCAAAATAAAATATGAACTTTTTCTAAAGCTTTGTCTACACTATTAAATTTTATGTGACAAAAAAATGTGATGTGTCCATATATGGGTATGATGACGTCATACCACATACTATCAAATTGTATCAAAAAAAGTTGAACATGTTCAACTAATATTTTCAATCACATTTTATGTGACGCTTTTTCGATGAAATTTTATAGTGTATATTTTTTAAATAAAACATTATTTTTCGAAATCTAGTAATATAATAATGTATATCAGACTGTTGTTTTAGAAATAGATTATAAATATGTAGGGTAAAGTTTCATTTCTAAAACGATACATAAAAATATAGTTTTTTAATTTATGCAAATCTAATACATTTAAAACTTTAAATTTATAAAATAAAAGTTTGGCATGGGATATACGAGTTGTCCCTGCACAAAACCTGAGGGCTCACTTTTGTAGTTTAAAAATATTATCAATGGGGGTTGTTTCGGGACTTGTCCAGAGACATAAGTAGAGAAATTTATCAACTGTACAGCCCATGAGGTGTTACTATACCAGGAATGGATATAGGGTAAGATTAGAGTATTTGTACAACAATAAAATAATGTACTGCGGAAAGTAATGTTTTAATTTGTTCATGACACCAATGTTTCTTGATATAATTTTGTAATACTATTACGGTGGGATTGCCAAGATAATTTTGAAGTCTAATGTGAAGCCAAGTAATTTTGTTTCAGTTATTTGTTTAATAATGTTGTTATCGGTTTGAATAAGGAGGATTCTGTGTTTTTATGTTTTATAAATATTAAGAGATAACTTATTTACTTTAAACCAAAATTGGATACCTTAATTAATTCGATGTTATTAATTATAAAAAGATCATTATTTTAATTATGGGAATAGAAAATGTTAGTGTCATCTGCGAAAAGGACAATGTTTAAAAGAAAAGAGCAATTTCGAAGATCATTAACATATATTAAAAATAATAAAGGTCCAAGTAAGGATAATTATGGGACACCACATAATAAGAGTTGTAAAAATTAATTGTAGTATTTATTGTCAGTTGCGGAGATAGTTTCTAAATAAACTAGGATCAAGGCCTCTGATACCGCATCGTTCAAGTTTTCATTAGAATTTCATGATCAATGGTATCAAAAAGCCTTGCTTAAATCATGAAAAAAATCTACTGTAAAATTATTATTATCAATTGTTTTAGTAATCTGATCATAAATATCAATAGGAGCAAGATCTACAAAATATAATTTTCTAAAAATATATTTGCGATTATAAAGAATATTGTGTTTGAGAAGATATATAATCTATTGTAAATTAAAAGCACTCAAGAATTTTTGAAAGACAAGGTAACAAAGAGATAGGCCTATAATTAGTAAATAAATAAGGATCATCTTTGTTTTTTTTTAATATGAACTACCTTGGCAACTTTCAAGTTATCGGGAAATATTGCTTTAGCAAAACATTGGTATATAACATAAGGTCTTGGTAATTAAATTAGAATTGGATTTAATAACTTTGTTAGATATGTTTTCTACTTTAACTATATCTATGATTTCCTCTTAAAAGAGGGTGGTGTGAAAACAAAAATGAGTCTTTAAGAGGCGTTACAGGTATTAAGACCTAGGCCTAGATCGTCAAAGTCATAGAATCGGAAGACGAATATTCCACACGCTTCTCAGCGTCTGTAAAAATAGGCCTAAGTCTCGTTTATTTGCGTTCATTTTGATACATGTGAGTGCATCGTGCAGGCATTATGTCGCCCTCAATCTTATTAAATGTTTAAATTTCATAGTTTTTATGTATGCTTCTCCTTGTTTGGAAGTTATTTTGAATACATTTGAAATTTGAAATTTATGTTACCGGGGAGGGCTTGTTTGCGTTTCAATACTCAAAGCGGTAGCGAAAACTGTTTTACAGCAATTGACCTTAGCGTGTGATAAAGCCGGCTTTATACGAGGAATACCAGTTAAGACCGTTTTATAGCAATCCGCCCCAGGGTATTTATCACAGAGATTGTTACAAATAATTATGTTAATAAGTGTTTGCGGTTCTTGTTGTAGTCCGTGTTGGCCTATGTGTAAGAGGTTCATATTATTATTTGTGTGTTTTACACTTAACAAGATCGATGTTAAATATGGGCCACTTTGTTCTCATTTTCGATAGTGTTTAAAAGAAGAGAGGTGTTAGGGTTAAAGGTAATTACTAATGAAGACTCGGGCAAACATTGCTAAAAAAAAGTATGATTTCAGGTAATAATAAAATCAGTTGTGTCCTTAAAATGAATAATTCCTACTAAAAATGTTTGTTTTCTTGCGAAATATAAAAGAGTTATGGTGATTAAAGATACTGTAATATTATATTATAGTTTGAATGGAAACTATTTCAAAAGGATAAGTAGCCTATAAATATTGTATATAGTGTTCATAAATACAAGCGAACAATATTGAAAAAATAGGAATAAAGAAACGCATGACTTTCTATTATATCTTTTATTAAAATGTCAGAAAAAAAATTAATAAGACAAATAGAAAAATGGCATGGCAATTGTACACTTTGACCTATGTGCATGAATTTCAAGTGAAAGTAAAAAAAAAAAGGAATAATGTTAAGATATTTTAAGAAGCCATATTGAATAACAGTTTACAAATTATACTGTGTATGCTGAACTTATGAATAAAAGTGGGACGACCCCACAAAAGAGAAAAAAAATACTTTAATAGATATTATTAATTATACAATCCAGACTGTCAATATAAAATAATTTAATAAGCCTAAAGATAATGTCAATAACATACATATAATATACAAAAAAAAAAGGAAAGTCGACAAAGCATAACATTACAATCAGTATAAACCACTACAATTAAGCTAAATTTCAATCTGTTAAACAAAATCATAAATTCTCTGAGCATACAACATTTGAGGCTACCGCACATGTTTAAAGTAACGAGTTTTATTTTCTTTTGTTTATAATTTAAAATCATTACTACTACTATCATAATAAATAATAATAATAATAATAATAATAATATCAGTAATAACATTAATAATAATAATAATAATAATAGTAATAACATAATGACGATTACTAGTGTTGCAATTAATGCTTAAATGTCGACATTAGCTGTTTTAACATTTTAAATATCAATAGGCCTAGCAACTACAATAACAGTAAAAATAGTTTTAGTAATAATAATAATAATAAGCAGTTTTCGCCCCACGACCTTAACGTTAACGGATAACGTCGTAATTTATTCATCTTGCGTTGCAGAGTACGTTAAAATTCATGATTTTACGTGCTCGACGTACTTTAAATACGGGTTTGCGCATGCGTATTTCGATTTGTTTTGTTTTATTGAATAACAGTTTACAAATTATACTGTGTATGCTGAACTTATGAATAAAAGTGGGACGACCCCACAAAAGAGAAAAAAAAAATACTTTAATAGATATTATTAATTATACAATCCAGACTGTCAATATAAAATAATTTAATAAGCCTAAAGATAATGTCAATAACATACATATAATATACAAAAAAAAAGGAAAGTCGACAAAGCATAACATTACAATCAGTATAAACCACTACAATTAAGCTAAATTTCAATCTGTTAAACAAAATCATAAATTCTCTGAGCATACAACATTTGAGGCTACCGCACATGTTCAAAGTAACGAGTTTTATTTTCTTTTGTTTATAATTTAAAATCATTACTACTACTATCATAATAAATAATAATAATAATAATGAAGGTTATGGTTAACCACCGAGATAGCGTACGGTATCGTATCCATAGCCACTGCCTTATTTTAGCTATCAACGTATATAACATAAATCATCAGACAATTGTATGGATTTTAGAAATACTGTAATTTATTGGAGAAAACCAATATTTTACCTTAGGTGTATTTGAATATATATATTTATATATATATATATATAATAATAATAATAATAGTTGGATTTGTATATATATAAAATATATTTAATATGCCTATAAATCATTAATCATTATGTCGTTATTATTATCATATCGTTATTATTATTCCTTTTTATATTGTTATCAATAATATTTTATTTTGTTTTTATTAATGTAGCTGTTATTATTGTTACGTGGGTGTAAATTAAGATAAAAAAATTAAAAGGCAACGATTTAAAACACTTTTATATGAATTATTTCTTGTTTCACCATGCAAGACTTTAAGTACTACTAATAAATGATAATAACTAGCAACAGTACTCTACTAATAACCTATGTTAGAATTGAAACCCATTCTTTGGCAAGTTTACATTTTGGACTTGAAAAAGAACAAGATTCATAAAAATTGTCACTGGAAGTAAACTCCAAAAAGTAAATTATCCCGTGTTGTACAATCCCTGTATTTCTTTTTCTAGATTTTATTATTTTTAATGTCATTTATATTTTTTAAAAAAAGGATATACTTTAAAATCAATATCATACAAGTTTCGCCCATGTGGTTTAAATCAATCCATGCGCTGGTTCTACTGACAGTTTGAGTTTTCCATAGCTAGCATCGATCACACTTTCATCCGTGTTCAGAAATTTCCTGTTAAGATGAGAATATTCCTCTGACTCTTCATCAAAAGCAGGGGTGGGTATCAGCTTATTGTAGTCGTCAGTTACGTCATCTGGAACTCTAGTGCGAATGAGGTGATTTAACGTATCGTATGGTCCTTCGTTGGAATCATTCACACCAAGCCTCAGTTCAGCATAAGCATCATCATTTTGAAGTGATCTAACGTTCAATTTATTTATGACGTCACTGCCCTGGTCTATCACCTGCATGTAATTATTCGATCGATCTGCATTACCCATCGGTTTCTGTTGATATTGATTTTCTCCCTGGTAGGTAGTATAAGCGTACTCATACTCAACATCACTCTCTGCCTCCTCAGCGTTAGGATCAGGAGGTACGATTGCGGTAGACCTACTTCCATCTTGTTGGAGACACATGTATTCAGATTGCAATCCGCCCATCTTCGGAATGTCGGTATTACTAGGTTTTACTCTTACATTAGATGTCGGATCAGTGGCGTCACTGTCTTGCTTCTTCGGCAAGGTGTAGTATACAGGTGAATCCGTTGGTACTTTGTCGTTGTCAGTCCGGGTATTCATAGGAAAGCTAGCGTATGAATATTCAGATTCAGGATCCTTTTCAGTTGCAAACGAACCTGTGTTCGTTGTAGTATTTGTATCATGTTGAAGTACCATGTATTTAGATTTCGATGTATTCTGTTTTTGTATGACGTCACTCTCCTCCTTTTGCAGTGCGCAGTACTCAGGTGAATCATTTGATGCTTCCTCGTTGTCCATCCGACTTTTCCCAGGATAGCTAGCGTAAGAATAATCTGCCTCAGTCTTTATCTGTCGTTCAGTCGAACCTGAGTTCGTTGTGGTGCTTGCATCATGATGAAGAAACATATATGTAGATTGAGATTTACTCTCCTCCTCCTTCTGTAGTGTGCTGTAATAAGTTGAATCATTTGGTGTCACTGCGCTAACTGTTGACATCAGTCGCTCCTGTCCGTCACCTGGGTACCTACCATATTCATTTGCAGGCTTTTCTGTTGTCGCATCGTGCAATGCATTGTGCCTAGGGCTGATGTCAGATATTTCCATGCTATGTGATTCATCTACAATAAAAATAAATATGTTGGACATTTTTTAAACATACGCCATGGCCACATGTTTAATTATTCAGAATACACTTCCAGCAATAGGCCTATATAAGTATTTTACTGTTATACTTTCTATTAGATACATTAGTTGTTTTCACTTCAATGCGCTTACTATGTTACCTTGAAATTATGCTTATATTAAGTACAAATTTAGGCCTATTATATAGTAATGTGTTGGCTACATTGTGTCTAGAAAGAGAGTACACGTACTTGCATTGGTCATATAGATACTATTTGTCATTTCATGCGACACTGAATGTGGAGACCTAAATTTAAAAAAAAATAAAACAAAACAAAAATAAATAAATAAACACATATTAAAATGTAAATTACTGTAATTAATAGGTTTTATGTTAGATTATGCTACATCATATTTTTGATTTGTACCGTGGATGTGTTTACAATAGTGGTGCCATGATTTGCCAGATGGGGTGGGGTCCGTCAGATCGACGAAGATCACGGGATATAGAGTCGAAGCTTAATTCGTTTAGAAAGACGGTACTATAATGGCCATTTCACCTGTTCAGAGAGTTGTTTTACAACATATTTCCCAAAATCTTTTTCAAAACAAAAATATTTAACGATTTATGTACGAAAGAGTTGGGAATTGGCCAGTCCCTGTCCGACAGGGACTTAAATCATGGCTTGCCGGCTCTGGCTTTGTGTGGTAACAGACAAGCTACAAATCTAGTTGGAACAAAAACAATTCAATATTGTAAACATACGTAACCTACGAAAATACTATGTGAAAAGCAATTATTTTACATTTTTAACATAGAACCAACAATTGATTTATTGAGATTTTTTTTTTGTTGTGTTTGTTTAAAAGAAAATTTTCATTATAAGTGTAGGTTTTGCATGTTTAATTTCGATAAACAAAAATGACCTACTAATAATCCAGTGATTTTTAAAATCATGTCCTATATTTTTCACATTACATTAATTTCTGAATGGTATGCCTACTAATTATTTTCTAATGTTTATTAGTATAGGTATTATAAAAGTACAATTTACGTACTTCCAATAAAAAAAAAGTGTTTTTTGCCTACGGTCCCTAATATCTATCATATACATTTCGTATAACCTGATCCTATTTTGATTATTATTAATTTTAGTACTTTAGCCTAATTATTATTAATTTTAGAACATTGCCTAAAACAATCGCGTTCGCTGCCAGCGACGAGTATACTCGCGCCACAGGGTTTGCTGAGGGCGCTAGGGACGACTACCTACTCGTCAAATCTGGGTTAACATTCTAGCGGTTATTTCTGCATTGTTATACATGAACCACAGACTTAATAAAGGCTGATAATTCGGGGAAAAGATACACCTAGACGATAACGTACAAATAACGTATGTAGCCTATTTTTGTTGTGTTATGTTGGCAGCAGGAACATTTTTTTAACGTAGTATAGTTTAGCAAAATCTAATGAATTATTCATAATTCTCCTTATTGAACGTAATTTGCGAATATGCTTTTTTCAAGTCTGATATTCATCAGCTGCTTTGTACATCGCGATGGGACCTACTTTTCAGCCCTTGATGGGCCTTAATGTATATGAATCAATTTAAAGTAAAACCAGTGATGAATTATTTACTTACAATACAGACCACATCTTCATTTTCATGTATACCTTGTAAGCCAAAAGGTATCGGATTGCTTCACAGTTTTGTACATGATAAAATATAACACTATCAGATCCTGAAGAAGGTTCTTTAAGTCTGGTTAATTAGCATTTACGGTATCTGTCTTACCATAATCATTATTACAACCTCGACATTTAAAATGAATGTTTGTACAAGTATACTTGTTTTGGAACACGGGATAGAACCTTAAAATAGGTCTGGTCATCAACGTGTTATCAACTATTATAGTTTTATATCCGATATTTGGTTTTTGTTTGATAACAAATAACATGGTCATTAAACAAACACGTAATAATCCTTATCCGATATAGTATTTAAATGAAAAATTAAATACTTGCCCATTTTTTTTTCTTTTTTTAAAATACAAAGTCAGTGTTGCAATGCCGATTAGTATAAACACAGATACAACTGATCCTACGGAAACTTCGACTAAAGACTCTCCTTTATTCTGCCGTTCCAGTATGCCAGTAGTGGTTGGTGGAGTCGCCTTGCCTCCATATGTTACTTCTCCTTTATCTGTTTTCTGTCCTGTTCCCACGAATTGTTTGGTAGTACTCTCTCTATTACCACCTTGACCATCTTTAGAATCAGTGAATACTGATGTACTAATTTTAGTCAATTCAGTCACGTGTGGCATTTCTGCATATAAATTATGAAAAGCTATCATTTGATTTAATTTTGAGAATTGCATATTGATTTTTAAATCGCTGGGTGGAAGAATAATTAATAGATTGGTGGATGGATAATTGGAAAGATGGTTGGTTGGGAGGATCGATGAATGGATGGATGGATGAATGAATGGGTGGTTGTAATTTGGTGGCAACGGATCTAGGGTACAATTAATGGCCGGCGGCAAATAAACAGTTGACAACAGGCTTAGTGGCAAAAAGCCGATTGGCAACAGGCCTAGGTGACAAAAGGCTGGATGGATAGATGGATAAATGTAGGCCTACTGTGTTGATGGATGAATTTAATGAGTAATCCTGAGACTGGTTGTCTCAGATTAATCTGACGAACACCGTGGAGTCACTCTTGGATTCAGATTACTCATTATATACCTGAGACAACTGTATAAAGTTGCTTTATGCAAATTTTCTGTCACGGAACCGGTTGGTACCAATCAATGTCAACCTATTTGGTGCACGCTTACTTATAATGGTCTTTATAAGTAAACCGTGACGTCATTACTGTTACTTTCAATGTTATTTTCCTATCCCAAATCGTGCACTATATTTTCATTAGTGCACAGTTTGCTAAATGTTTTTCGGTCCGTTTGCAAAAGGCCAATTAAACTTGCATAAATCGCCATATCGCGCACCGCGATTAAGTTTAGGCTAGTGTGTTTTACACCTACACACAACGACTTGCGCCTGCGAAAAGAAAGGGAGGACAGTTGCCCAATCTTGGTTTGTTGACAAGTGGTGAATTTTAAAAATGACATTAGAAGACGGTACATTAGGACCCAAAGAAAATAACTTCAAATTCAATATTAAATATAAAAAATAAGCAATTTCTTGTTTTAAAGTACCCAAAAAAAAAAAACTAAAACTGAACATCTAATAGGAATATCTGGAAACCTAGACGCAATGAAAGAATCCTAGATTGATTCGTAAGCCTAGGCCTAGATGACATCAAAACACGATTTTACTAATATGATAAATTTGTTTTTATTTCCTTGACAAATACATATCAAAGTAGTAACCCGTGACAATTTCTTCAAACACTATCACATATATATTCATCGTATTGTGTAAAAGTACATACCATTTCAACTGTTGTGTGCTAGTGCATACTGCAACAACAATCTGCGTACCCATAGCTAAATGTAATTTGCACACAGATATACTGGTTACATAACTATAGCAAGCGATTACAACAATTTATAAAACTAACATTAAACGACGGTATTTGACTTATAAACTAATTATTATAGTGCTTATTTATACACTAAAAAAATATTATACTTAGATTAGATTAATGCATTTATAAAATCCTATGGCCTTTCAGACGCTCAGTAGTTGTATTCATGCATTGCTCTGACCTTCGTATAATAATTTTTACTAGTATATGATACGCAATTATACTTATTGCTTATTATCCGTATAAGTATCTCATTCATTGACTGGATTTTGAACTAATCAAATAATTGAATGATAATAATTGGAATAATAAAATATAGATTCATTGTTTGGTCGGACCTACTAAATCATATTTATCTGATTTACAATATTGAAAATTGCTTAACAATTATTAGGCCTATACTAGTACCTGAATTACTCGCTGCGTCTTTACATACCTGATCAGTACCAATCAATGCACCGCTCATTAAACACAGGACAAGAATAAAATTTAAACTTCGTATTGAAGCCATTAAATAACCACCACAAGCCAATTGTGTTATCAACTGGTCCGTTGCTGCACAGGACCCGTTGCCAGCCAAAGCCAGTTGCAGCCAATCCCATACCAGCGGTTAGGAGAGGCGGGATCGATTGTCTCGCTTAATTTCCCCCATTTGTAGGCAAAGAATAAATACAGTATACATTACGTTTCATATTAGTTAGATTTGTATTTATCTTTGTATTCTGAGCTCTATAAATTGAAAACCATTAACCATTAAATGGGTCAAACTTTAAAAAAAATTGATGTTGATAGTGATGATGATAATTATAATAATGATGTTGATGATAATGATGATGATGGTGCTCTTACCTTTATCTTCACACGTATAAAAAACTTGGAGATATTTGAACACTCCAAAACACGGATCTCCGAATACCCCATTTTCTGCTTTTACAACGCATGAACTTTGGTATTGGCAAGCCTCCTGTACCTTTTGGAGCGCCGATTCAGCGATACAGCATGTTTGACGGACATGATCATTTAGGCATGTTTCTGTGTCAAGACGGCCATACAACGTACTGTGGATGTCAAGTGTACTTTCTCCTTCACAGGTAAGGTTCAAATCTGTTCCTTCGCATGCAGTTTGTATACTCTCTTCTGATTGGTTCAGTTGACAAAGCGTGATCATAATAGATTAATATCATCACAATAATGATGATAATAATAATATTAATAATAAAATTAATAATAATAATAATAATAATAATAATAATAATAACTAAAAAATATGTTCAATAGAACATGAACTAAATCAGATTATTTCTGGTAAATTTGAGTTAAATTGGATAATTTTGATAATGTAATCTTTCTACTTTAGCATTTAGTGTCACAATCATTATCTATCAGCCCAAAAACTGTGAAAATGCTCCTAATCAAGTGCTATGTTTCTTGTGGCAGAAATAGACTTCAATCATTTTAGGGTTTTGACTCTATGTGTCCTTTGACCATAAGCTGAAAACACCCCATCGATGGTTCTGGTTCTAGTGGGTAAAGCCGACCCCCTAAGGACTCCAAAAGTGTAGGATTAGGAGTATAACAGGAGGTGTAGAAATAGAGTCATTGATAGGAAAGGTCCACCGCTGTAGTTTAAGACGCGCAGCGTCATTCATGAACAGGCTTGCCGTTACCGCCACAGGCCGCATTGGACGTAATAGCAAAGATACTAGAAACACAAGATAGAGTTCTCCACAGAAAAAAGGTGTTCTACCGCAATGCATGGTGGGAATACAAAAATGGCCCCGTACGGCTGGATCTAAAAAAAAACTCTACCAAACTTTCGTTACCAAGTCGTCGCGTATTTAATTGTCAATTCCCAAATAAAAAATTGTACACCGCGATGCGGTATGGCGACGTACGGCAGTGGAGGACGTTGCTCTGCAATAAATTGCAACACATCGTATAAGACTCCTAGATACACCACTGCATATGTTATAATCGAGGGAGAATTAGCATTACAATTATTAATTTCTCATATCATAAGGCTGCCAATTAAGCCTAATATATTCCCAAGGATCTCACATTGACAAGCCCCGCCGAAGACAAGGTCTGTATGTATTGGGTGCCATACGCAGCAAAAGTCCATGTTAAAATCAAAATGTAATTGCAAAATTCAATATCTTATTTATCAAGACGTAGGCGTAAATTTCTCAAAATGTAGATCTAGTTTCCCAAAATGAAGTTCTAATTTTTTCAAAATTTTAATTTCAATTCAATTCAATTCAGTATAAAGTTTATTTCCACATCATCAACACAACATACATAGACGGAGAAATACATAAGCAAAAACAATAATGGATAAAAATGTAGGCCCATCAGAACATTTAAATATAGTGGAAAAAGGGTCGCCACAGCAAGCAAGCTTTATAACGAGCGCCCATTGATTATGAAATAAAATTAATAACAAATTAATAATTTATATGGTTTACTTCAGCTAACTTTTATCCATGTTAATTCAGTTTTTAATGGGATAGAAAAAATATTATCACAAGTTTTAATATATATTTTATGCGAAATTCGATGTTGATACTGTATTTGATTGATGACCTTTCGACCTCCTGTAACATAACTAACGATGTAATTACACTGTCCTTTATACCAAATGATAGGAAACATATCATTCTACACTTGATACTGAAAAGAAAATATATTCAATTGGTAAAAAGTTGTGGGCATAAATTTAACCCCTACCCAAATAAATCTCCCAAATTCTAATGCCTACAGAAACTGGTATACCTATCTTCGATGTCGGTTTATAGCCACTGGCGACCAGATATCGCTTGAGTAATAAGGCATTTTTGAAGGTTAGACATAAAGGTAACTAAAAAAATGACAGGAATAAAGCAGGGAGTGCACCTTTTTGGTTTCTAGCCTCTGGACTAAAAGTCCTGTTTTTTTGCCATTGCATACCGGTATGTGCCAAGGACACGATCGTGCTAGGTTATCTGTGACAGAAGTAGTCCTTCATAAAATTTGGGGGTTTTTCAACCACTTAAAAAAGCACGGTTTACATTGATTTTACTCGTAAAAAAAGTGTCAACCCACAACCAAACTTTCTTTACATGGGGCCACATGATTTTATGATTAAACTAACTAGAGTAACAGCATATCGAAATACTGTAAAACCTCGAATATAATCCAATTGGCTTAATCTAAAGATGAAGAATCCCATCTCGAATTTAGGCCATCACCCCCTCTTCTTTAGTTTGCAAACCTCGAAAGGAATCCCATCCCTCAAAGAAGACCATGGGCTTCTTTTCAAGATAGCAGGGCTTTTTTCGAGGTAGTAGATTACGGTACACGGTACATAAATTTCAAAGAAACAAAATACATTGAAAACACGTTTGCTTTACTGTAGACGGTTGTATAGGTTATTTAATGTCGGTTAATACAGACTGTCGTTACTGTAGCCTTGGGTATTGTTTTGTAGTAGTAATTCTCAATACTAATAGCATTCATTTTTAAAAGAAGCACTTTAAATCATAATCATTACATTATTATTAGTTTTTTTTTCAGGCTGTCTACTACTTTACAAATTATATAAATAAGTACAGTAATTACCTTGCCCTGGAGTGTGTGGTACACACAAATTGCATAATGTTTCGACATTTGAGAAGAAGCATCTTTTGCATCCACTTATATAAAATCACATAAAATACAAAATGAGAGAGAAACGTATTTAATTTTAACATAATTGCCATAGGCCTAGTTCTATCTGTATGTAGCCATATGAAGAAAGGTGATCTTATTTTCCAAAACAAAATTGTGGTGATTAATGTTGTAGTAAATGTGCCTCCGCAGTTGGTACCGTATATTACTGTATGTCACGCCAAAATTGCTAAAGCTAAAATTGGTCCACCGGGTCGATTTTAGCCGCTAAAACCGGTTCCCCTTAGATATCATTGGTCCATCGGCCTGGCCGCTTATAACGCGTCTGCTGTCCGTAAGTATGATTGTTTCTGCTGTGGAGTGCAGGGAAGTAATAAGTTATGCTTCTCCCACACTTAAAAAATCTTTTGCAGTGACAGAATAATTCGTATTAAGCTTTTGTGGACGTGCTTGGCCTAGGTTTGGGCCTAAAATGGAACACAAGACTGATTTATTCGTTTTAAATACTCCATATAGTTGTTCTATTACATGAAAATAAAGGGGTCAGTAATTTCTTTGAAATGAATGTTCATGTATTTCGTCGTGGCGTTAAGCAAGCACACAGCCAAAACAGAACAAGGTAAAAAGTAAACTAAAGTGGACCAATACGATTTACGATCATATCCTTTAACTTCTTTTTCTAATCAAATTTCTCCTGACAGGACATAAAAAATGGTAAAACTAATCAATCCGCTTATTACAGGCTAGGTTACTTAGACTTACTTGCATGATGGTTGAGTGTAGACACAAAATGACATCGAGACCAAAATCAAACCACCGTAGCATGTTGCGGTATATGACAGCATTATGAAACACGTCAAGGTGATGGTTGTCCTTTCTAAAACAATTTATGATTATTGTATAGCTTTATCAAAATAATAAACTATATTCATTTGGTACCAACCAACAAGTAAAAACATCGCATTTTAAGTCACCGAATGTAGTCGCTCTCATAACTTATACTTTAGTTCCGTGTACCAGTAATTTAACTGTTCCCTGCGTGTACGAGTCCAAGGTCATTAAATTTGATTGGTTAATAGGTGTACTATTCATTATTGTATCCTCTTCCGGTTTCCTAACCGCTTAGCGGTATGAACAGTTAAATATTAACTGTTCCCTGCTATAACTATAGTCTTCAAAGGGTAAATCCCTAACTTCCGTTTTTGCAACTTCCTCTTTTATGAACTGCACGGCAGTTTCTTGACATTCTTTTAGATAACTCTGTTCATAACTCATTAATAACCTCAACGTATACAGGTTTGTTAACAAATTTCCATAGCTTTACGTCACATACATATAAACTCGGATTTCTACGCACTCTAATAGACCGTACCTTCAAAATTAACAACACATGGTTGGGATTTTATAACGATTTAAGAAAACTTGTACTCACTTTTCAAATAGATTGTTATCCGATCTCATTAATTAATAAAACAATACATAACTACCTGAATAGAAAACTATCGCCCACCACTTTGGATCCTCCTAAAACGCAAACACAACCTTCTTATTTCAAGCTACCCTATACACCATTATCGAACTATTGTAAACGAAAAATTAACGTTATGGTCAAAAATTATTGCTCTAACATTAATGTCAGACTTGCTTTCAAGTCATATAAATTATAATTTTTTTTTAACGTAAAAGACTACCGTATGTCCCAAATAATCTCCGAGCCCGTGTTGTCTACAAATTTACTTGCGCGGGGTGTAACTCCATGTATATTGGCGAGACCAATAGACACTTAGAAACACGGATTAAGGAGCATTTAGTTCGGGAAAAGTCATCACACATATTTCAACATCTTCAAAACTCTGTTACATGTCAAAACACATCTAATTCAGACTGTTTTCCTATTCTTGACTACGCCCACAACACTACGGTATCAATTTAAAATAAAAGAAGCCATTTACATTGCCTGGGGAAATCCGTCCTCTCATTCTAATTCATTCTAATTCCTATATACATGACTTACTATAGCATTCCTGACCTCTATATACATGACTTATCTTAATATTTGCTTGTTTCGTCTTACACCTGACCGGTAGTATTTAAACCGTTAGTAGCATAAGCGTTATTACCTGATGATGGCGTGGGACACGTCGAAACATGTCGTTTATAAATTACATTTACTTTATTAGATGCATTACTGCATTTATATATATATATATATTATATATTTATTTATTTATATATATATATATAGAGTGTGTATATATAATGTTGGCCTATATAAATAGTGTATATATAATGTATAGTATAATATAATATTACAGTAATTAATTATCAGTCATAAAAACATTATTAATTGTAATAATGAACTATAGTTTAAAAATAATAAGCAAAGAATAATTATATACTATTATATAGGCCTAGTAATAACATAATAATAATATAATAATGATGATTATAAAAAATATAGTGTAAAAATATTAAATTTAAATAGGTAAACGCTTTCCTTTTCTGGGCTTGATTGTGGTAATCTTACGAGTTTAATAACCTCAAAAACTTCAAAACGACAGCACTGATGGCGCCAATAGGTTGGTAGAGGAAGAGTGGTGTGGAATTCACGTCGGACAGGCCTAAAACCCAGTCGCCCGACGCCAGAACGAGGTCGTCAGACCAACAATATTTATTAGCCTGTCTCCCAAATTTTGGTTTAAAAGCATAACTCATTCATATGCTGTGACATAAATTACTTTTATGCATAGGCCTATATTAATATCTGAAAATCTAGCAGAATAAGCACTCAAATTTGCAGCAATATTAGACATCACTGATCATGAGAAGAATATCATTTTCAACACCTTTTCAATGAAAAGACACCATGGTGTAAGAAAACGAGCAGCATACTGTTTGACGTGACCATGGTGAGTTTCGACGGTCACAAAACATGCAAGCTATGCAAGGTATTCCAGGACAACAATCTAGAATCTCACTATAGAGTCCTACAAAAATCAGTTGATTACCTGGACATAGGCCTAACCCTGGATTTAAAAACCGCGGTACATTCAAACCAATTTCTATGAAAGCCCATTAGTGCCAATAAAGTATATGTTCAATAATCCGTAATAACGAATTACTAATTCGTAATTACGGATTACTAATCCGTCATTACGGATTACTAATTCGTTATTACGGATTACTAATCTGTAGTAATCACCATCAGGTAATAACGCTTTGTTTTAAAAGCATAACTCATTCATATGCTGTGATATAAATTACTTTTATGCATAGGCCTATATTAATATCTGAAAATCTAGCAGAATAAGCATTCGAATTTGCAGCAATATTAGACATCACCGACCATGAGAATAATATCATTTTCAACATCTTTTCAATGAAAAGACACCATGGTGTAAGAAAACGAGCAGCATACTGTTTGACGTGACCTTGGTGAGTTTCGACGGTCACAAAACATGCAAGCTAGGCAAGGTATTCCAGGACAACAATCTAGAATCTCACCATAGAGTCCTACAAAAAATCAGTTGATTACCTGGACATAGGCTTAACCCTGGATTTAAAAACCGGTACATTCAAACCAATTTCTACGAAAGCCCATTAGTGCCAATAAAGTATATGTTCAGTAATCCGTAATAACGAATTACTAATTCGTAATTACGGATTACTAATCCGTAATACCGAATTAGTAATTCGTTATTACGGATTACTAACTAGTATTAGTTAATTCGTAATTACGGAATTAGTAATCCGTAATAACGAATTACTAATTCGTTATTACAGATTAGTAATCCGTAATTACGAATTAGTAATCCGTAATTACGAATTAGTAATTTGGATATTGAAGATGGCTACCACAAAAAATCGTTGAAAATTAAATATTTTGGTATATAATTCCACCTCTCCACGATCAAAAAAGTTAAATCTGGTGTCTAACTATATATTATTGGGGTCACTTAATTCAGTGAGAATTTTTCAAAATGGTAGGATGACAGCCATTTTGAAATTCAAAATGGCTGCCGTAAAATTTCATATTTTTAAAAAATTTACTTTTTATTAGAAAATAGCTTTGTGAAACTAAGTTTATTGGACTCGGATGGCCCAATAACATCTGCTTTGACAACTTTAGGCTTACCATTTCTGATCGAGGAGAAGTGGAATTATTATACCAAAATATTTGAATTTTACGAATTACGAATTAGTAATTTTTGTGGCGGCCATTTTGAATTTCAAATTGGCTGACATCCTACCTTTTTGAAACTATGTTTATTAGACTCAGAGAGCACAATAACATATGATTGCACACCAAATTTACAATTTTTTATCGTGGAGAAGTGGATATATACCAAAATATTTTCAACGATTTTTGTGGTGGCCATCTTGAATTTCAAAATTGCTGAAATCCTAGATTTTTGAAACTACGTCCATTGGACTCAGAGAGCCGATTAATATATTATTAGACACCAAGTTTACCATTTTTGATCGAAGAGAAATGGAATTATATACCAAAATACAGTATTTGCTTTTCGACGATTTATGTGGCGGCCATCTTGAATTTCGAATGGCTGCCATCCTAGCTTAAAGAAACTATGATTATTCGACTCAGAAAGCCCAATAACACACGTTAAACATCAATTTTACTATTTTTCAAAGAGAAGAAATGGAATTATACTGTGGAACTTAATTTTTCGACAATGACGGCAGCCATCTTAAATTAAAAAATGGCTGCCATCATAGGTTTTTGAAACATGTCTCATTGAATTCAGTGACCCCAATAACATATAGTTAGACACCAGACTTACGTTTTTTCATTGATTAGAAGTAAAGTTATGAACCAATATCTGAATTTTGGCAGCTATATTAACAACGGCTGCTTAAAACATGTTCCGCCCTTTCTCTCGAGGTACCCCCTCCCACTCAATTTTTTATTTATACCATAGTGATGCCAAATCAGCAGAGAAACCTTGGTCCCCGAAAAATGGTCACAATAATAATAATAATAATAATAATAATAATAATAATAATAATAATAATAATAATAATAATAATAATAATAATAATAAAAATAATAATAATAATTTGAATATTTATTAAGCCCTCTTATATATGCAAGATTACTAATCCGTAATAACGAATTAGTTAATTCGTTATTACGGATTACTAATTCGTAATTACGAATTAGTAATTCGTTATTACGGATTACTGAACATATATTTATTGGCACTAATGGGCTTTCGTAAATTTCCAAGCCAAGCAATACCCCCTTTACGTCCATCGACAAAGCAACCACTCACCGTCAATACATACCCTAAGCCATCAAGGATCGTTCAAAACATCTGTTCCTCAGTATCAGGAAGACGCCCCCAAGAATAGCGGCTACGACTACAAGTTTAATTTCAACCCTGAAAACGATCGAGCAGCCAAAATGTTATATTGTTTAACCCTGGCTAAGCCGTAACCCCCCGTACAGCATCAACGTCGCCACCAATATAGGCCACAAATGTCTATGCCTATAGATGATGTTTCCCTCAAGAACATGAGTTCAGCTATTCAACAGAAACACGTTGAAACTCACCTATAGTTGCATGCCGAACATGTCATAAATTTATGATAATAATATTAAATTATAATTA